GTCTAGATGTAGTTAGATGTGCTTTCCCTTTCACATAGAACGAGAGGAACCCTTGTCTATGTCGCCACCGTGAACATGTGCGGAGTTGGCGGAATGGAGAGGTCATGCGGCGACGTTGCGTGATTTCTCACCGAAACAGGCGGCTGCCATGGCGGAATCTCTTGGATCACCGTCAATTTGCGGCTCAGGACGCACCGCCGAAGCTGCGTTGTAGGGCGGCCGTTGAGGTGAACCCGATAAGAGGAATGTCGTTGGTTGGAGTCACAGGTATCCAATGCTGCATAGGCTACAGCAAACCCACACACAGGACGCTCTCCTTCGGAGAGCATCAGCCGTGGCTATCTGGGATACAACTTAGATACCCAATGATGCCGCCCCCGGGATGAAAACACCCCAATTGTGGCGCGTTCCAGACCCTACCCTGCATACTGCCAACTTTCATATCGATACTCACCTGCTGCAGTGCAGCTTGAATCCAAATCCCGCTGGTACAGCCCATCATGGAATGCCGTCTGTGGGCAGTCTAGAACAAGACGAGACCTGGCTCAAAAAGGAGTATTTATCTTGCGAGCCATCCCAGCACTCAGCAAACACCCATCAACCTCCCAAACCCGTTTTACCATACTCTCAGTAGTTTCCAATCTTCCATTCTACGTCTCAAACTTCGAGAATTCAAAGCAAAATGGTGCTTCTCCTTTACCTAAGTTGATCCCTCTCATCCAGAATGGAACCATACTAACTCACCTCCTCTTCAAGGTGTGCACAGTGAACCTCGTCGTCGACAATCAGACCGACTTTACACTCTACCCCTTTACCCCGACAAGCATGGCAACCTGGTATGGCAGGATTAAGACCAACCCCGGCATCGTCAAGCCCCATACCAGCAACACACAAGCTGGTGAATTCGCGTCCAGGGAAAACACCGCGACGGGAACTACCGGCGTGACGGTCTACACAGGGTTGGACCCCAATAAGGTCTTGATCCTGCTCATCATGATGCCCTACGGCACAGGCACTACCAACAAGACCAAGGTTGCCTTTTACGACAAGTCCAACACCACTGTCAACCAGGACCTTGTCGAGCATGTGTGGAACAAACGGTGTTGCCGGAGAGAATGCCGAGTGGTCGTGGTCCGAGGAAGGAAAGACCCATTCTGTTTATGTAGGTTTTATGATCTTTCAATTGCAAAGATCGATTGGGGTTGGATCTGGACGTTGATGCATGAGGAGCTAATATCTTCTTCGCAGGTTGCATCCAAGATTGGCCAGGGGAACAACGTCACGGCCACTTTCACAGTCACATTGAAGAAGTAGATGCGCCAGGAGCCGGAGCTTCCAGGAAGAACAACTCCCGGTGAGCGAAGATGTCGTGGAGCTGGTTTGTGGTCCCGTGGCCAGGGGGAAGCTTTAGTACGCAGCTGCCTTGGCCTAGTACTTTAGGTTATTTTAGCTACAAATAACGTACTTTATCAGTGAGTGGCCCATATCAGTGAGTGGCCCACTCACCGCGTACACTACAGCCCTAATATGTTTTCTACATCCCTCCCGCCATTTGACGCACACAACACAGCGACCACGATCCGAATTTCAACCACTACAGCCATGCCACCGCCCACATTCGGGCCTGTCCCCCAGCACCTCTGGGATAGAAGCCCGCCTCCAAAAGATAGGATCGCAAGCGGCAGACTGAATAGGCTCGACTGGTACATCGGGCTCCCGCGCGGCCACGCGCACGGCTCGTGGGGCTACACCATTCTGCGCACCGCCTACGGCCCCGGGTCGGACGCGCTGTTCGCCGTCGCGCTGGACCGTCTCAAGAGCTACGTGCATTGGTGGTGCCACGACGGCCGCTTTCATGCGTACGGCGCGCTGTGCGAGAGGGAGCGGGTTGATTTCGACGAGCCCAACGAGGAGCTCTTTCGCCGTTTTTACGTCGAAGTCATTGAGGATCGGGAGGGGCTCGCGCATCTCGACGGCGGCGGCACCACCGGCGATGCCAGGTTTATGGCCCTGGGCGAGTACTTTCGCCGGTGGGTTGCGGGGGTGGAGACCGGAGTGCAGCCCGAGGAGAATCCCCGCTTCTGTACTTGTCTGGTCCTTGACTCGGAGAGTGCGGCGTCGCTGGCTGCACTACCCGAGAAGCCGCCACCGCTGCGCTGTGCGGTCGACATCGAAGAGAAGCGGAAGTTTCTGAGTACCGGCGAAGGTGCGTTGGTGTGGCTGCTGGAGACAGACTACATGGCGGAGCCCGAGTTGCACGAGGATGCGTATCGCGGCTGGATGAAGTTGGATCTGAGCTCTGTTGAGTTCTCATGGTTTCGTCGGCTTTCACGGGGCATAAGCGGCAAGAGACACTATTTCGAACATGAGGAAAGGGAGCGAGGCTCGGGGATATATTGGTTCGCCGAACAATAAACCGTGCCGATCAGCGCTGCCGCCATCTCAAACCAAAGCTTACCAACGGGACCCATCTTACGCCAGTGCTCAAGAGCCCGTTGTTCCTGTTGTTGCTGCTCCAAGACATCGCTGGTAATCTCGAAAGTACCTTAGTCGAGTCATCCCCGAAAAGAAAGGCCTTCGCGACGAGGTTCAGACTATGCCCAAAGCATCGCATTCGTTGATGCTTAATGTCCGTTGGGTTGAAGTTAACGCTGAAATGAAGGTACAGGGCCGTGAGGCATGTGTCGTTACCTATTCTCCGCGTTGTCTGACATTGCTGTCCCGATCTTCTGCTCGAATTCCCAATCCTTGACAAAACGTCTTCAACGCTGTTTGCAATGTTCTTGCCGCTGTGCGATCCCTGATGCATCCAAGGCCTAAAAGACGGGCCTGGTACCGGTAATTCGATCGATGAAGTGCCCAAAAACGGCGAGCATCAGCAAGTTGTTTGGCGAGGTCCGAAGGTCGAAACTGATATGGATCGAGGTGACGGCATCGCGAAGCTTGCTCGAGATAACCGATTTCGCCTGCTAGAATGCTCGATCGAGACCCTAGCTTAATAGTTTGTTCTTCGCATCCTCTCCATCGACCTCAGGAATCTAATCCCCGTAATGCCGGATCCAGCTTGTTCTCCCTTTCGACCGTTTCTTGTCGACGTGGATTTCGAGGACGAAAGTTCTGCTGCTAGTCCCGGTCCTTAATGTAACCTTGGGCAGCTGCTGGACCGTCGAGACGTTGCTAATATCCGCGATAGAAGTCTCGTCAATCTGCTTTCCGAAGGTAGAAGCCCGAGAAGGTTGAGAGGTCACTAAACTGAAGGCAGAAATAGCAGTAGGACTGTAGGAGCCTGCTGGCGGGTTGGGGATTCGGACATTTCGGCGACCGGACTTGTGCCAGACCGCCAGCAGCCACCATGGGACATACGAGCAACCGCCGGAAGGTATGGACCGATTCTCTTCCTCTTCTCTTTTCTCTTCCTTCCGAGCCACAAGCCGATCCTCATATTCATCCACAACTCTAATACCCGACATAAACTAGGCAGCCTAGTCTAGCCAGGTCCTCACTCCCGGTGTTGACAAACTAGACGCCAATTTTTACACAGGCCGCCCACGATACAAAATATTCGTCTAAACTGCCGATGGTGAGTCCTTTGGAAAAATCCCGCGGCGTCTTCCGCCCCATCCAGCCAGGGGTCATAGCAACCCCTCGGATAGGAGAAACATATGAATCCGGGCTCTGAATGCCCTCAATGATTTACAAATAGGGTCAAGTAAGATTTGCTCTGCTTAGTGCGGAAAAATCCTAATTTGTTTCATTTAACTAGTTAACTTAGTTAGTTATCTATAGTTAACGTATTTTATTTCCGATATTTGTAGGTAACTCTATTGGTCTAGCGGCAGCGCTGCTGCTACCTCAGCTGCAACCCTCCTTATTGAACCCTTCGAGAGAATCCGCGCACGCACCCGAGGACGGCAGGTTCTTAAAGCTATCTATGAACTATGGCAATTGCGGGTAAAAGTTCGTTTGAGATATTGCCAAGCTGTTGGTCTCTGCCCGAAGCTGGGGAATCAGAGCCATGATCTGGGCGTTGTTTCCACCCACCAACTCCAGGTCGTTGATGTATCGGTTAAGCCACTCCTTCGCATAGGTCGCCATATCCGCAAAGAAGCTCGCCATCCAGGCATCAAAATGGTCGAGCGCGTACACTCTAACGTTGAAAATGCTGAAATGAAGCCGCTCGGCGGCGCGAATCTCCTTTCGGATGGTTTCGATGACCGTCTTGAGCTTGGTATTGGGGGTTGCTTCATTGTGGAATTTGAATGTGGCAATGACCTGGGTTGTGGCATTAGCTCGACGAGTTGGCCTCAATTGGAGTTTGGACACTCCCTGAGTCCCTGCAGACGACCAAGAGAGGACTGATGAAGCGGGGCGCCAGTAGGAGTCACATACATTACGGATGTTCCGCAACGCTTCCTGCAGGTTTGGGGCTTGTCCATTCTTGCCGTACAGCCAATTCTCCATAAACTCCTTTTGACGGGTTCGTTGTCCTCGTAGGCCCACATCTGTAAAAGGGGAAAACAAGAGCCAATGTTAGGGAAACCTCAGAACGCAGCCACCTATGCGTTGTGCCTGCACGGCATCAGACAGGAGGGAACGGGCTTACTTGTTCTTTCATAAGGTTCATCTGCTTTCTGACGAGCGACATGACGGCGCGATTTTGCGTCGACCCCAAGGCGTTCATGATACGTGATCGGAAGTCTGTGTATGGGGCGCCACCGGCGGCCGGCCCTGCCTGGGGATTAACGATGTGAAACAAGGTGTGAGTGAAAAAGTTAAGCGGAACAAGGTATTGGACCCCATTCATCTTGAACGGCGTGGCCCTGTCTGCCAACACACCGTCGACGGCGTTCTGAGACCACTTCGGTATCGCATTCCGCTCGAAAACATGCTCCGCTATGGGGTCCGGATCAGTCGCGGAACTTGGACGAGGTTGAGCAAGAGCTCTAGCTCGGACGGGACGACTCACAGTCAAAACCACTGGTAGAAGTAGTGCCCACCGGTGTCAAGGAAACGGACCTGGGTCGAAACTGGGGACAGTTGGGGTCGAAGTCCCATGCCTCGGAAAGGATAGCGTTGTCTCTTGGACTCGTGAACTGTCCTGTCGAGGGGTACTAGATCCAAGATATGTGAGCGGTGTATAGCTAAAAAAAAGTGAAAAGGGAAGAGTAAGAAGACGCAGAGGAAGAGGAAATCTGGAAGAAGAAAGTCTGCTGGGCACAATTACATACCGTGGGCGCCTCCCACGGGTAGTCCAAGACGGTTATAGGGGCGGTGTTGTGGTTGTTGAGCTTGATCATGTATGATCGTGCCTTTCCGCGCTTATCCAGCTCCTTGGCTGGCGACACAGGCAGCCCTCTCTTTGAGAACTCCGACTCGGCGTCGAAGCCAATGCAGTCGCTGTCTTCCTCCGCGCAGCAATCACTCCTGACACAGACGCAGGTGACGGTCGAGCCGCCGCCGCCGCCGCCGCCACCTTTCCCGGCGAGCCAGTTGGCAACCTGGCTGGCGAGGAGGTTCAGATTGCAGACAATGTACTCCGCACCCTGAGTGCTGCCGGCGCTCACGTAGATGTAGCTGGCCTCGCTGCTCATCAGGTAGTCGTGCAGGTTGGCGTACGAAAGGCTGGTGAATTGGGTGACGGCCGCGATCTGGCGATTCCAGAGGTCCTTCTGCGACACGGTTGGGCTGCCCCAGAAGAGAGCCGTGACCAGCGCCACCGTGTACGACTCCGCGTTGAAGGCCAAGAGGTCGCGGATCAGGATGCCCAGGAAGTCCCAGTGCTCGTAGATGCCCGAGTTGGCGCAGATTGGGGACGCGAGGAATCTCTCCAGGTAGTACTCGTACTCGGCATCCTGGCCGGACTGCCGCTTGGAGATGGTCTTGATGTTCGGCGTGCAGCACTCGGCCGAGGCGCTGCCCCCGGAGCACCCCGTCTGGTCCATGGCAACACGGACCGTGTCCTGGGGGCAGTTGGCGTGGCAGAAATCGGCCGGTTGCGTCGTGCTGCTCTGGCTGAGGTCGCTATGCCATGCGCACTCGCTCCACTGCGAGTTTTCGTCGTTGTTGTCGCAGCAGTACTCTCTCTTGCTCTGGGCGATGCACATCGCGTCTCCGCTGCCCGTCCAGGACGAGGCGACTATCGTCTGGTTCCCCGGGCAGGTGTTGACCGAATTACAGAACGGCCACGCCGTCCAGTCGCACTGGTCGTACAGTTTCATGTTCTCCGTGCCCGTGGTGCAGCATGCCGCCTGGTAAGTATGGTAGCTGAACCCACCCATCGCATCTAGATGGCAGTACTTGGCGTTGCTGCCAATCTCCCTGGTGCCATCCGGGCACTTGTTGGCGCATCTTCCGTTGTTGTGCGTATACCAGCCGCAAGTCGGGGGCGTCTGACTCGGGGGACAGCACAGCTGGTGCTGGCCATAGCCGCCGCATCCGGTTTCATCGACCATGTACTCCTCGCCTCTGGCCCCGGAGTCCTTGCGCAGCATGCGGATCCAGCCGGAAGGGCAGTCTATCCAGGGGTTGGGGTGATCAGTCTCCAGTCGATAGAGCAGTAATGATGAACCGGGGCAACAAAACAGGGGGAGACTCACTCTCGTTGCAGCCCGTCCACCGACACTGCTGCTTATACTCGGCCGTGTACTCGTAGCCGTCGTCTTCCCCCGTACCATCGCCGACGTTCCTCCGGACGACGGCATTGAACTTGCGCTTCGCCACGTTGCCCAACAGCTGCGAGTACTTTGCGTCTTCTGTGTCGTGCGAAACAGTCCACACCATCAGCCCTCCCAGGCACTGGCTGCGCGCGAACTTGGCCTTCAAGGCAAATGTGTCGCCATCGTCGTACGCCACCCACTTATTACTATCCCACGTCAGCAGCTTGACAGCGGCCGCCTCGTCGAGCGTGGGCGTGAGCTGCCGCGAGCTGATGAGCTGGTCGAGTTCCGAGTTCAGGATGATGCCGACCTCGCGGCTGCAGAGCTGCGCGTTGGCGCCCGACTCAAACGTGCACCCCGGGGTCAGGCAGCTGGGGCTGCTGGCGGTAAACGCCCGGCCATAAAAGGCCATGCCCAAGGTGACCTTGTCCGAGCTGATGCCGTTACGCCAGAGCAGGTCCATGGCGCCCTTGATCTCGGTCAAGTTGGTGTGGGCGTTGAGGAGCGGGACGACCCACTTGCTCGGCGTTTCGGGCTTGTCCCAGACTCCATGAAAGTCGTAGGTCATGCTGTGTTTTCGTGCAGTTAGCCATGACGGTTTGCTTGCTCAGAGCAGATCAGAGAAGAAGAGAAAAAACAAAAAGGAAAACAAAA